GCTGCTGTCTGTGTCACCTTCACACCTTTTACGTGTTTTCTCCTTTTCTTGTGTGTTCGCTTCGTCTTTTACGCCCATAATTCTCCTGTTTCCTCACTTTCCCTCCTACACCCTGATCATTTCTCTCGTTTGTCACACGTTTCTTCTTTTGTTTCCTGCTCCTCTAACACTCCTCCCTCCTTTTCTCTCTCTTTAGGAGCTGCTGTTCAGCGTATGCGCCCTGAACGTCATCTCCACCATCGTGTGCGCTCTCGCCACCGCGATGTGCTGCATGCAGATGGTCTCCACTGATGTGCTGGCCATGGTGAGTGTGATGGAAAGGCACACAATAGCTGACTTTATTTGCTTTTCACTGACCACCCTGCAGTTACAAAAGAATCTTTTTTGTTAGTCTGAAGATTTCTGTTATCAGGGCAAACACATGCAGCTCGTGGCGACCTTTATCTGTCGGAGGACAGTGTTTGAATCATCCTGCTCAGTAAATACAAGTTAGAACCAACACACATCGAAGGTCAGCTGCCAAAGGACCTCTCTCTCTCTCTGTGTCCTTCTGCATCACTGAAATACGTTGGCTTTGAAGAACAGCTCTGGAAAGGTGCACCATCCTCAGCATGACCCTGTTTTGTGGTTTATGTGGAACAATGGACGATTACCAGCAGCTAAATGATTTCAGCCATGAGGGAAATTAGCACGGCCGAGCTCCCCTCGTGTGTTTCCACCAACAATAGTCATCTGAAGCCTCTAAACACATAAACAACTCAAATGGTGGAGCAGCGCTGCCAGCATCGTACCATATATGAAGTCTTTAATGAACCTCGCTGTACATTTTCTGCGTGCTTGGATTCGTCTGATCTGCTGCTCTGGGCTTCATGTGGGATGTGGTTGGACAGCAGGCAGCAGGTGGACCGTATCTGTCCCATACGTCCAACCTGGCTCCTGTAAATTTACGAGTTTTCTGCAAAGTCTGTGAGATCCAGCTGCTGTTATGAACATAAATCAGACATCTACTCATAATCCTGATTTTAATGTGCTTTCCTATCATGTGTTGTTCTTTCAACGTGAATAAATCAGCAGAAAATGCTCTTTTTGAACCATGAAATAAAACTAAGTACCGTCTATTTGTTATCTCTCGTATCTACTTCTGTTAAATAAGAAACATACACCGATAAAGAGCAGAAGATGAATTCATCAGAAGCTGTTGGAGTTGCACAGAATTTAAAAATGCGAGTGGAAAATCATTCTTATCTTGACGTGCAGCCTTATTTCAGCCTCAATGCCGGCATCAATTATCTGAGATCTAGACGGACCGTTCCAGAACCGTCCCCACTGCACAGGCCTGAAGATCTACATGCATTGTGTTGATACTGTCTGCTGACAAATGAATTAGGAGCCTGTTAGTCTTAGTATATGTTGAGCAGAACGTATAAATACAGTATTCTATGGACGCAAACACCAACGCAGACCTGAGCACCAACAGAAACACCTCCATAAATTAAAAGAGGTGCCATCCAACAACGGATTCACAGAGAAGAACCAAAGCAGCGTTTCTTATCTCCAGCGGTCTTATCGAGTTTCCAAGAGGGGCCTCGTTTTCCATTTACCACAGAAGGTGTTAACCTTTTGTTTAGCTCAGTAAATTCAGCCGAGTCAATAGCAGCGGTGGCAGCCAGGAGATTAGAGGAGCAGGCTGGCTGTGACTGGAAAGTTGTCCCACTTAGAAAAGTCTGAGTGAGGAGACTGAATGTGCAGCAAGGCACCTCACTCCTACAACCCACATCTGACTGCATGTAGCTGCTTGATGGTGCATTTCGCTCCTCGTTTGCCCCTGGATGGGTCGTGGTTTCAAATAATGAATGAACAATGAAGGACTGTAATAAAGGCCTGCTAATGATTCTTTTATGCTGCGTTTCAGTTTATGCCGCACAGAGCTCGAGCCCTGAACGCCGACTGTATGACCCCCCATGGAACCATCCTGCACCAAACGCTGGACTTTGATGAGTTTATTCCTCCCATTCCCCCACCACCATACTACCCCCCGGAGTACACCTGCACCCCCTCCATGGATGGACAGAGGTGAGAGGCAGAATCCTGCCCGTCAGCTGGTATCGATACGTCCTCTGGGATACGTAGACGCCTTCAGGGAGGAAGCAATAAAGAAACCATCCCAGTGGTTAGAGACTGTACACAATAATTTACTTTTAAATCAGAACCCACTTCAGAAATACGCCTCGTTGTGCAAAACACCTCAGTAGCTAATTGTGTGGTAAAATTTCTGTCACGCTTTGTCTTGTGTTTAGTGGAAGTCACCTTTATATTGATATAAAAGATCAATCACATGCAAAGTGCAGCGCAGGCCGGTAAAGTACAACAGGTACACGATGTGAGAAATAAATGACAAGTTAAATGCAGTCAGCTCGTGCTTGTAGCAGGAATACATCATTAGCTGTAAATACTGTGTTTTATTTGTAAAAGGCAGCTTAAATCCTCTCCCAGAGGGCAGCAAGTCCAATTAGGCATCAAGCTGCTGCATGTTTTCCTAAAAAATCAATCAGGCATTGTTCATGGAATTAGATTTTTATTGTATGACTTATTGAAAGAGACCAATCTCAATATGTTCTGCAACATGTAAAGACAGCACGAACGTAATCAGAAGTTCATTATTCTTCCTTGAACTGCATTTAAATCTGCAAAAGGATTCAATGACAGCCGATAGTCACATTGAAAGCTCACATTTCCTCAAGTTTCCAGCTTATGATAGTCAAGGATTCAAGGATTCAAGG